TTGGCTGGGTTGGTCTCGAACTCCTGGCCTCAGGTAATCCACCTGCCTCAGCCTCTCAAAGTTCTGGGATTACAGGTGTGAGCCATGGCGCCGGCCTCCATGTTTTCCTTATCTAGTCATCAGTTGATGGACATTTGGGTCTTTTCCACCTTTGGGCTACTGTGAATAGTTTACTCACACTGGGTTCACCAAGCCCCACCTCCCTGGCCTTTTTCCTATTGCTCAAACCTGTCAGACTGGTTTGTGCGTCAGGACCATATTCACATTTGTTATTTCCTCTGCCTGCAATGCTTTTCACCCAGATATCTCCTCTCTCATCCTCATCCTTGCGGCTCAAATGTCTCACCCTTAGAGAAGCCTTCCCTGATCACTGTATTTAAAGTAGTTAAACCCTCAATCACATGTATATCCCATTACCCTATTGGAGGATCTTCATAGTACATATCATTATCCGAAATGAATAAGAATTATTGTCTAGACCAGGGGTTACTTTGTGTCGTTGGCCCCGTTAGCAATCTAGTGAGGCCTATGGGCTTGTTCTCAAAAGAATGTTTTTAACTGCCTAAAATATACCAGTTATACCAAAAATACGGTTAAAATATTTAAAAATTGTGACTTAGTAATCCACGTGCTTCTCTATCAATTCTGGAATAATATCTATATGCAGGCTTAATAATGATCAGAATTTGGATGTCATAATGAGTATAAATGCTATTCTGAGCTATTTGGAACAACTGGAATGGGAAATGATGATATCAGTGATTTCTATTGGTTATGAAATCACAGGTACTGCTAACATTACTGTAGATTGTTATCTACGTTCATAGCTGAAGAAACGTCAGTTAGAGATTAGTGAAAAAGATGTATTTTTTCCCCTATCCAAGTTCGCAGATCCTCTGAATTCTGTTCTTAGATCCCAGGAGGTCCATGGACCCTGTGTTAAGAATGCCTGTCTTGAAATGTGATGGGGAGGGATGGAGTCTGTTGGAGCTGGTTTTGGTCGAAGATGGAGGAGATCACAGTGAGCAAGGGAATCAAGAGCTAGAAGAAAGCTGTCCTCTCTGCCCTTCCATGGGACTTGGGTGTGGAGATGAAGAAATTTCCAGTTGAGAAGGACATGAGAAAAGCAGCATCTTTAAACGATAGTCGGGTGTCACTTAGAAGAAGGAAGCAGTTTGGGAGGAGGTAGCCTGTAAGAGTAAGGAATTTTGATTAGCCAGGTGTGGTGGCGCGCGCCTGTAATCCCAGCTACTCAGGAGGCTGAGGCAGCAGAATTGCTTGAACTTGGGAGGCAGAGGTTGCAGTGAGCCGAGGTGGCGCCATTGCAGCAACAAGAGCAAGACTCCG